TTAGGTTAGGTTAGGTTTCTTTATGTCTGGTAGGCAAAAATCAGTAGGTTAGGTTAGGTTTCTTTAAGCTCGGTAGGCAAAAATCAGTAGGTTAGGTTAGGTTAGGTTAGGCTCGATAAGGTTAGGTTAGGTGACATCTCTTTGAATTTCATCGAGTTATAATCGCTTTTCTCAAATTTAAAGTTATCCGCGCTTTAGACATAACAATATGAGAACCTTGGTATTGTTTGTCATTTCTGGCTGTGATAAAAAATTCTGCACGCGAAACGCATCTGATATTTTTGCAGCCTTGGTTGTTTATAAAAGCAGATTGTGCTCATCCGCCGTAACCAGCATGGCGTCAGCTTGGCGTCAGCGTCGGTTGCGAGGGGTGAGGTATGTGGTGTTTTGGGGTCAATTTTGCCAGCTTTGAATGGTAAGTTGTTGCATTTTACTGGCAGGGAATGTTAGATAGTTGGATTATAGCATGTTGTGATACTAATTGGATTCATTTAATTAAAACGAAAACGCTTGGGGACCTCCGTGTTTCCGACCGGAGGGGGGGGGGGGGGCTCGATTAGACCCCCAGCCGTTCGGCCGCCGATCGAACTTAGTTTTGCAGAAAAAAAAAGAGTGCTATCGAACCCCTTGACGAGAGAGAGCCGATGCTACCCAATTATAAGGTCTTGGGCTACTGCGTGCTTTTTTGGCCCTCTATCCGAACACTTCTCCCCACAAGTGCTGGGGTAAAATGGCATAGATTTCAAATGGTTCCTGTGGTAGAAGTGCCATGCTTGAATTTGACTAATTAGGAATGGAAAATATCCATATAGTATAAACGGAAATCTATGGAATTTCAGTAAACTTGGTTTCGTCGGCAATGGGGTCTGGCAGTGGGGTGGGGAGGTAATAGCCCTGCCTGGCGCCCCAAAAAAGGGGGGGGACACGATCCCCGAGGCCCTGCCGATCACCTTATAGGCATCACAGCTCCACACCTTTTGCAGATGGCCATGACCCCCTGCGATACATCCCAACAGCAATCTTTATTCAGAACCTGCCTTGATTAAAGGTAGTGTGCCACCTTTGGAAGATTTCCCATTTTATTTTTCCTAGGATAAGAAGCTTCTATTTTTACCTAATATCGCAAAAAAAAAATCAAAAATGGGCCTGGAATAGTGCCTTTTTCGCCTAAAAGTTTATCGGTTTTTAGATATGTATAACAACTGTAGTGGGCTCACCTGCAAACAGGCGTCGGGCAACAATCGCGAATGCGGCGCACTTGTGACAATAAGCAAAGGTCATTATAGTGTTACGACCATACGACGTACGGGAATGAGTTATCAGCTGTCTAATCGTAGACAACACAATGTCGAGCCTTAAACTGTAAGCCCGTATTGGTATTGTTTCTTTTATTTGGCTGTCGAACATTATTTATGGTTTGAAATATGATTTTATGTAAAATAATTGATATGAAAAAGCCGTCTTATAAGTTATGACCCCATTTCACCACACGCAAGTGGCAGAAATGACAATGATCAGCTGACGCATTTTTCTTGGCCGAAGTCAGAGCGCGCGGCCCGACGCACCACGCGTATTTGGAAATTCCGACCTCGACGAGCATCAGAAGCCACCTAACAGGCGTGTTCGAAACCGCAGGAGATGATGATGAACGGGTTTATCGAAACTTGATTGGATGAGCATATCGGTAATAGCGATTTCAGTGTGTGCATTTATTGTTCATAGTGGTGTGAAATGTGGTTGGGGTACGACCGACAACCCGTCGGGGCGAATTTCGCACTGGGGTACTCAAAATTTGAAGAATTTAAGACGTTTCCATGAGTTTTGAAGGTATGGATAAGTTCTAAAAATCCAGTTCTCCTTATCTGGGCCATTAACTCCATACGGTCCAAGAAAGCTGGCACACTACCTTTAACCAACGATGCATTAAATGCGACGGATAACTCTACAATGCATTATTATCAACTATTGCACGGGCCTCGCCGATAGGGGGGTACTGTACCCCCCTAACTTTCGATAGCGGGGGACCTGTCCCCCCCGTCCCCCCCGGTGGCGCCGCCCATGCTGAGGACATATCTACTGTTGTGCATGTGTACTGAACAAAAAGTATTTTGACATCTACAATTGTGGCGCCTGCTGGTATCGGTTGACAAAGATCTGTGATCGAATATACCCGAATTTTTGCTATTTGTCATTTTATTCAGATTACATTGAGGATTCGGTCAATTAAAAATATGCTCATAATCATCAATATGATTTTCCTCACTACGCTAAACTCTCTTAGATCAATAAGATGACAGGAATGTAAACATTTTAATCGTAAAGTAGTCCAAATATTGGAATGAGCTTTTGCTTTTCAGCATCCTCCGATTCATCATCTTTATCATTTGAAAATTCGAGGTACATAAAATGTTTATCACGCGCTCATGTTAAGTGGGAATATAGTACACGGCAGACACATCAATTTTTGACACTGAACATTTCATCCGTAAATGTTTTAGCATAATTTAAAGTTAAAAACAGCGCGAATGGCAGAGTGAAGCAAACAACATCTTTCACCCATTGATATAACATCACTGAACTCTATAAATAACATGTAATCTGTGGTGCGCCAGATGCGCCATTATTTGTCAACCGCAGAAGGTGACATGTGACGTAACAGCATCAAGAGCATCTTTTTTCAAGAACTTTTCAAAACAAGTTTCCTATCTTTCTTCCCCCATTTCTCTCAGCTTATTGATTTTATGAGGCAATGGTATGCACCATAAATTCTGTGAAAATAGTTTGATCATTTTCATGCATTCTTAAAAAATCGAGTTCCCAACCCCATTGATTGTGTCTGATTGTGCTCTGTAACCCAGCAATGGGGGAGAATTGTGGCGAGTGCCACTGCCCTAAGAGTTAAGACGCAATTTACCGAATCAGGCGGAATAGATGAAAAGAAAAGACCACCTGTTCACTCTGCTGTCCAGTGTCCAGCGACGGAAATCGCCAGCGGGAGTGTCACACCCGATACGACGGGCTGACGTGGCCTGTGAACGGTTTTCAGAAAATCGCACTGCCACATTTACAGCGACATATTTACAGCGACAGATCCCGACTCGTGAGCCTACAAAGCTCCGGAGCAGACCACAATGTGCTGAGGATGATAGGGAACAGAATCGGGACGGTAAACCGTCCAAGAACTAGCTATTAACCTTTGACTTTTGAGCCAGTAGCTCAAAAGACGTGACGTTATTGACATTTGGCCGATTCCGGGCAGCAAACGCGAGCCCACAATGCGGTAAAATGTGAGCGAAAAAACGACTGACAGCGTCTACTTTTGGCGACTAAATACTGGCAAATTGATCGGCACGCCAGGAGAGATTTGTTGACCACTGACAACGTTAGAGTCTCTCACAAGGCAGATAGAGGATAGCCCAAAGGTCAAAATGCACAGCTGTCAGGGCCTCGCGACATCGCAACGTTGAGATACATCCTTTAGGCGATGACCAGAGGAACAGGGTCTTCAGCAGGTGGTAGGCCAGTGCTTCACGCTTCAACCTACTCTGTGATAGTGAATTTGGATATGTGTAAACTTTAAACTTTATGCATTTCCATGAGTGAGATTCGTTTGGAAAAGCTGTCATAAAAAGCATTTTGTGTATTTGGCATATAGGTAAGGTACAGGTAAATGGACACACTAGCGTAAAAAATGAATATTTCGTTTTTCTTAGACACATAAAGGAAAGGTCTTACGAAGCAAATTGAATAGGTACCTTTGAAGGATAACTTTCAACGGAAAATTGTTTGACTTTGAAACAGGGCGTATGCAATTTCATCTTAGTCGTTCCGCACTGAACGAAACGAGAAAAGATGTCTAACTTAGATGAATGAGCGCTTGAGGCAGCGACGGGCTTCACCAATGATAGCATTAAAGTGTCTCGATCAGTAGAAAAAGGGAAAAATGACCCTACTTGAATACTGGTTTCTTAGGCATAAATATCAAAACGTACCACACATTATAATCGATTTCTCTCTGTTTGTAACCATTTTGACGTAGCTAAAGGCCAAAAAAGTGAATCCAAAGAAGCGCTAGCATTCATTGAACTCCCGTTACCATTTCAACGGTTTTGCCATTGCGGTGGCTTACACCATGATTGATGGACCGGTGCATGTTCAACTTCGCGCAGATTATTAGTAAGACAGGCGATATATCCTACAACACGTGTTCCAGCAAAGGAAACCTGTGCACGCTCCCGATAACTGTTCAACAACAAAGGAACACGGCATGTTCGGGTGCACATGTTTCCTTGTGTTCTTCTCCTATTTGGCGCCGACTTAAACAGAAAACAAGCCGAAAACACAGCTCAACTGACTAAAACCCCGTTCTCTGGCGCCATTTAGGTGTCAAAAAGCCGCTCCATCGGCTGCGCTACATGTCTGCTTACATTCGGGACAGGACAGAGGTCCGGCGGCGACAGGCCAGAGTCCCGCAGAGTACCCACACCGCCCTATTCACCAGTCTCTGGCAGAATGACGACAGGTGTCCCAGACAGAGGCGATCGTGTAGACGCTTATTTGTAGGTGGTCCAGGAACGCAAGGTTTTGTAACATCCTTGGAAATTGATGGTTTTTTATTCTGATCAGTTGCAGTGTGCGTGCAAGGTAGGCATAGGCTCCGTGGTGTTGGTCTGCTACCCGGCATGGACCCATGTGTCCCGGCATGGACCGATAGTAACGGTATGGGTCTGTGTCCCAGTATGGACCCATGTGTCCCGGTATGAGTCTGTGTCCCAGTATGGACCCATGTGTCCCGGTATGGACCCATGTGTCCCGGTGTGGGTTTCTGTCCAGGTATCCGTGTATGGGTCCGTGGCTGTCCCCCTCCCCAGCCCACACCTATTCATCTGCTGCAGTGTGGCCCGATCGTCGATACTGAATGGGTCTGCTTCCCAAGGTGGGTTTGTGAATTGGTTTGTGTAGATCTTTGGCTGTCCCCAATCTACACCGTATGCACCCACCTGCTGCAGAGTGGCCTGGTCGTCGACGCTGCGGCTGCGCTGCACCGGCTCCTTCACCGTGTCGTCCAGAACAAGAGCGTGGTCCTCGCCGAAACTCTTACTGAAAGAGCACACCGGCCAGAGCGGGTTAGGGACCCTGTCACACCAGTGCCCCTGGTAATGTCGCGACTCGCGGGCGTCAGATAACATCACAATTAGCCCAGTGAGCAGATGATGTGCTTGGCTTGTTATGAGCGAGCGCGAAGCGAGAAGCTGGTCCTTCATAGATACGTCTTGGAATATAAACCACCTTACCCTGACACAGAAACCTCAGTAATAAAGCCCTGCCGCTGTTCCAGAACCTCAGCGCGGCCCAGCGCGTCTCTTTGGCGTCTCTTTGGCGTCTTTTTGGCATCTCTTTGACATCCTTCGCTCACCTGGTGGGCACCTGGTTGGTCATGTGCTGGCGTTTCTGCATGACCCGCCACACCTCGAGCACGATGCAGGTGTAGGCGGTGGCCATGACAGCCGTGGGGGCCAGCAGCAGCACCACCAGCAGGTAGAGCTCGTTGAACCGCCACAGAGCCGGGATGTCCACGTTACGCACGCACCAGAAGCCGACGGGCGGCATACCGACGGAGATGTGCACCTTTTGGAATGAGAGAGAGAGAGAGAGAGAGAGAGAGAGAGAGAGAGAGAGAGAGAGAGAGAGAGAGAGAGAGGGAGAGAGAGAGAGAGGGAGAGAGAGAGAGAGAGAGAGAGAGAGAGAGAGAGAGAGAGAGAGAGAGAGAGAGAGAGAGAGAGGAGAGAGAGAGAGAGTCAGTCAACGATGAGCAGAATGAGACCGTTTCAGTCCTTTTTTTGCATTCGGCATTCGCTTAGGTTGTTTAAACGCCGCCGGCTCTCAAAATAGGTCTTTCATGTGCTAAACTGCCAATGCCGTTTGTGGAATTATTATCATTATGTTTTTTTCCTCGTCGGTGCGCATTTTTTAAATAATGCCTATGTGGGTGTTTCTATGCAGCGTCTCAAGGAACTGGTAATAGCTTGTCCTTCTCCGAGTTGCTGCGACATTCCCTCCATGGAACTTGAAAGAAGTTGGAACAGTAACTGTCTGGAGGAGCGGTTAATTCTTTTCATATTACCTACATCCCACATGCTGCAATGTTGGAACTATTGAAATAAGTTTCGCGAAAGCATCTTATAGGAAGCTCAGATCAATTCAACACAATATGTAGAAACTTCCGACCACTAGGCACCTGTCCGGCAATGCATCTGGATGAAAAACTTCGACTTGAACATATTCATCATTTTGTCCTTATGACTTAGCATTTCAATCGAGAGCCATACCCTAATGCGGCAAGATGACATCGGCACTGAAATAAGGCGAAAACGTTTCGTGAAGTAGCCACAGTGCCAATATTGGTTAGGTATATGACTGCAACAGCCAATCGCTTACACATAGGAAGATATAGGTAATTTATAAAGTGGCAGTAACACACCAGACTCATTTCCGTTCTCAGGATCAGTGTTATTTCATGAGGAAGGATTTTGCTAAGATTTATGAGACATCAGATCGCATAAATGTTATCCGAATCCGATCCAGCTGCCAGCAAAATGATAAACTGTCCAGAGTAGGTAGTAACTACTGACTAGTGAACATTTCAGCATCTATATAATTGAGCTAATGGTACATTATGTATCAATAAAACTGTCAAACGGAGTCCTTAGATCTAAATTCAAACTATTTTCTGAGCAGCCGGGGAACACCCGTCTGGGTCTGAGGTGACAGCCATACTGCTTCCCGGCGCCCGGCTGTATATCTTTAGCCCAGAATGCCCGTGCGAAACGGGACCGGTGTGTGCTAAATTATGCAGCACGCTTGTCGACTTGCTGGATACGGACAGAACTGTTATAAGCAGGCAGCCGATATCTCCCCATCAGGACCAGTTTAGCTGCCTGGGTCATGTCGTTGACCGGGAGGGGACTGAGGCTATAAAGGAGGGAAGAGGTCCTGTGCCGTTATAGGGGCCCGTGCAGTGGACCTGGCAGCGTCGCGGACCTGCGCCAGACTTGAGTCAAAGCGGGGCGCGATCCCGGACACAATGTTACCAACGCTGGGTGAAATAGTGCGAGGCCTCATCTATACGGTACGTATCTATAGGCAGTGTCCTGCCTTCCATACGGAAAAGGTTGACGGTCTTATAATTGTTAACGTTTTAATTTGAAAAGAAAGATAAGGGATACCTTAATTTTTCAATACTGATAACAATAACATTGTAATGATAATGTTTCGTATAGAGGTGGCAAAAGATGAAAATTTTGGGAACCAGACTTGAGCCAGACCCGGCTGAACATTTCTGGAACCAGTCGGACCCGGTCTTAGTTGGAACCGGAACCAGTTGGACCCGTTCCCCAAAAGTCAATTAATACAAACTACTTGTAGGAATCATTAGTTGCATCATGTAAAACAGTCTATTTCCCACTGGGAATACTCATGAGGTATTGTGTGCAAAGAAACATTCACTTAATTCCCTTCATATTTTGTAATAATGTGTAGTGTGCAAGATGTATAGTTTATGGTAGGACCCGGTTGGACCCGTCAGAAAAATTTCCAGGAACCGGTCTGGACCCATATGGGTCCAGACTGGTTCTTTGGACCGGGTCCTCGGGTCCACAATTTGCCACCTCTAGTTTCGTACGTACAAAGGCACACATACAAAAACCTTTTGTACAAAACCGTTTACTTAAACATTTATGTTATTTAGAAGTTGTAGGTGGTAGGCACTGTGGAACCGATCTACGGCACTCTTGGAGATGTTCTGAAATTGAACTATAAAATACCTTCTTTCGAGAAAAAAAAAAACGAAAAAACAGACGTTGCTTTCGTACAAGACATTGCAATTGTTTAGGAACTGGATCGATTTCCACAATCAGTATGTAGTAGGTATTAAAAGGCAAAGGTTTAGTTTAGATAGCCTTTGAAGACTTTCACAATGATTATGACTCTTCCGAACGTCGTCTTCCATCTATTCATACATAGCTTAGAGTCTGGGTCAGCGTCTCGGCGGAAGGGACGGGGGGGGGGGGCGGCTAAGCACATTCTCTTATATCCTTTGATTTTCAGTACTAACTACCGCCACGGCTCGATTTGTGTTTGAAGATCAAGCTAAAAATTGCAGCGCGTGGGGTACGGGTGCCCAACAGCGGTATCCGCAATAGTGCAGCAGTGTAGCAGTGGTCGGGCTCACCCTCTGCCCACAGTAGCGTGCCCAGCCACTGATCCACTGACCTGCGGAGAGTGTTTGACCTCCCTCCCCTCCCGACAGGGGCCGCTGCTGTCCCAGCTGGTGTGCGACAAATTCCAGCACATTCCGATCCAGTTGGGCGACGAGGCGGTCATCACGAGTCGCGGCTACCCGGTGACGCCCTACGAACCGCTCACCAAGTGCGTCACCTCCTTCTACCCGCTGGACGCGGACACTCGGGTCCAGCTCGACTGCGCCGACGTGCAGACGGACGGCAGCCGCATGGACTGGGTGTCCCGGCTGCTGGTCGGCGGCTCCGACTACCTGCTGCTGGTCACCGGCCTCACCTGGAGCCAGGTGCGCTCCACGGACGGCGGCCCCGTGCGCCGCGTCGGAGAGCCCGGCCAGGTGGTGCGCGTTGGCTTATTCACCGACCCGGTGGGCACAGCGCGGGGCTTCAGCTGTACGGTACGCGGCGTGCGCGCGGAGACGCCGCTGGCGTGCGGCGTTCGCCAGCTGCCGCTGATCGACCGACGGCGCGAGGCGCGCATCCTGGGCGGCACGACGCAGGCGGAGAACCAGTGGCCCTGGTCGGTGCAGCTGTTCCTCGACAACGCGGGCGTGCCGTCGCTCTGCACAGGCACGCTGATCACGCCGAGGGACGTGCTGACGTCGGCGCACTGTCTGCCGACCGACGGCACGCCGGTGCGGGTGGTGCCCGGCGCGCTGCGACTGGGCTCCGGGGTGCCCATCACCACCACCGACTACCAACCGCACCCGGACTTCCAGCCTGGAGACACAGCACCTCCCAGTCTGAACGACATCGGCGTGCTGCGCCTGCCGTACCGTCTGACGTACTCGGCGGCGGTGCGTCCGGTGTGTCTGCCGCGCGCCTCCGACATCGAGGACCCGGACCGGGGAACGGTCTTCGGCTGGGGCCAGCGCGAGTTCGGCGGAGACGCCGCCCAGGACCTGCAGGCGGTGACCATGCCACTAACTGACGAGACCACATGCAACGAACTCGCCGCCAAAGCTAACATTGCAGGGGCCCAGGTATTGTGTGCCAGGCCAAACTATTTCGCCGCCACCCCGTGCGCGTCCGACTCTGGGGGAGCACTGGTGACCGAGGACAGAGACACGGCGGTCATCACGCAATTCGGCATCACTTTCGCCGGCGAGAACTGCACGACCAACAGCAGGGCCATGTTCTTTACCCGCGTCAGAAGTTTCGTGAATTTCATCCAGGCCAACACTGACTGGGTTCAAGAGCCTTGATGAGGTGTATGAGTATGAACGTATGAGTATGAGTATGAGTATGAGTATGAGTATGATTATGAGGTGCCAACGAGGGCTGACGTCACTGTCTGGGGCTTAGAGCTGCATTGAGGATGCTTATATACCTGTCTTCGGGTCGCCGCCTAGATGCTGAAGGCTCGACACTAGACAAGATCACCTTCCTTGGTCGAGGAGTCTTCTGAATGGTGCTCTGATGAGTGCGGCTGACTCGTGAGATGGCGCAAGTTTAGTTTAGTTATGACTGATTTGCCTGCTTTTGTTGGTTATTATCTGTCAGACGGAGTCACTGACCCGGTAAAATAGGTGAGTGGTCTGGTAGATTGGTTGACTGGCCTGTAAGATGGAGTCAATAGCTTGGTAGCTGTCGTGACTGGCTGTAAGATAGAATCGATAGCCTGGTAGATGGAGCTACTGCTCGGCCCTTGGATGTAGCCAGGAAATCTATTTTGAGAAGATGCAGCGCCGGTAGTCACTAATGTGCTCCGTTCGCCGAACCATCTTCGATCCGGCTCAGTCGTCTCGTCTTTATCACGCCCAAATGAAGTGCCTGACGCTCGTAAGGTGCTTAGTTTTCTGCGGTTGATTAAACTGAAAGCCCTCCTCTCGACCGGTACGTCGAGGTGCTATGGGAGTAATGCCAGTAGCTCGTCCCAATCCACTCATGGAGCCTAGCTGGCATCATTTTGAGGCAGTTGAGTTTGTTTATTTATTACGGAGCGAGCGAAGCGAGCGGAGTCTTTCCTTAGATTAACGGAAATTTCTGAGTATGAGCGGCCGGCCGGCCGGCCGGCCGGCCGTGCGGACGCTTTTGCGAGGCTTATATCTCAGCAACCACTTGACCGATTTACATGCGGTAATTTTTGTAGGGTAGCTTCATTCCTTCTACCAAGTATTGGACTATTCCCGATGCATGTGGGTGACCCCTTATGCACGTGCCACGTGCAAAACGAAGAGGTGTCAGTTTTGCAATTGTTGCAATATCTCGGTAACTACTTGGCCGATTGCGCTCAAAGTTGGCATGTAGGTAGGCACCCACTAGGCACTGCATATCCATGTGCCAGAGTTGGGGTGCTGCTGCACGTGCGCACGTGCAGGGGTCGTTTCCAGATCTCGAGAACGGCTCGACCGATTGCGCTCAAATTTGGTACACAGTTTGGGACCGGTTAGTAGGGTGCCGTGCACAAGTCAGTTGGGACCCATTTTGCACGTGCGCACGTGCAGGGTGCCGCTTCCAGATCTCGAGAACGGCTGGGCCGATTGTGCCCAAATTTGGCACATCGCTAGAGACCGGTTAGTAGGGTGCCGTGCACAAGTCAGTTGGAGGTACCCCCTCGCAATTTCGCACGTGCAAGGCCCACCCTCTCGCTCGCTCCGTTAGTCGCCCCATAAGGCGTTATACTGGTCAAATAGCTGTGTTTGTATTTATAACCAATGGGCTGGGCAACGAAATATGCATGAGACGTGTGCTATATAAGAGTGTAAGAACATATGTCTGCTACGAAGCGTCAGTGGACTGCCGTGCGCCAGAGCCGAGCTTTGCATTGGAAAGTGCGCAGCTAGCCATAATTGGTGTACAACTAGGGTGACCCGCGTGCTCCGCAACGCGAAAAGGGATATTTTCGATCGGCGGGTGTTCGGTTGTTCTTGTGTCGGTTGGGTTATCTATCCATTTCGGTCGATTGCTTTTTGACGGCTAAACGTTTTGGTTTGTGGAAAAAATATCCACCGCATCGAGGTGCCCGTGTCTGATAAGCATGCTTTCCACTTCAGAATCTGTCAAATGTGCTTTATAATTGAGGTGCGTAGTTTTAAGACAAATGAAAGGCGTAGATAATTTTCGCTAAAAATCGTTTTGCAGAGGTTTAAAACATTTATATTTTTAAGAATACTGTTGCTTGTCATGCAAACGTGATGATTGGATCTTGGAGAGAATTGAATGCTCTTTCTAATGATAGCTTTTTCAATTGTCAAGCGTATCAGGTTAAGCAGCAAATCCCGTGTATCTTTTTAGTGGCACATTATGGACAAATTCCATTTTAATTCAGCGATTTTTTCCACATTGTTTTTGATCAATTAGCTGTCCACAATTTTCCATGAGAGGCGGTACATTTCTCTTGGCAATTGACGTTGTTTCAACTCTCTCAGTCTGATGGTCACGGGAAAATAAAATAAAATCCAAAATGCGTTTAAAATGGCACTTTTTGAAATGAAATTGCCCTCACACTTGCACGTGGCGCGTGCCACCCCTGCACCGCACACTATTCGATTGCCCGTTCGATTCTCTACACGATGCTGTTTTCCCCGTGCCGATCGGGCGCACGGTTACCGAGATATTGCACGGGGAACGGACCCGTGTCGGGCAAATTTAGCCATTTTCGCCCGTTTTTGCCAGCCGATTTATACATGTAAAGTCTATGACGCGAATTTGCACTTTTTGGGCACGCGCCACGCGCTCGCTATCGATCCGATCGAGCCGAGACCGCTCAAAGGCACGTTGTCCATCCTTGTTCTATAATTTGCGCAAATTTCAGCGCGGTAGGTGCAACGGTGTGATCTGTAACCCGCGCTACGTAGCACCATGTCGCGACCTTCGTAATAGACAGAAACTACGCCCTCCTCAAATAGTAATATAGAAGTCACCCGACAGCTCTGTCAAATAAGCGAAATTTAATTTAATAAATTCAAGGACTTCGCAAAATCAGCGGTACTTGCATTTATAATCGTTATTCTTTTTTTTAGCGCTTTGGTTAGTAGTGCATTGTAAAATGTTTGCATTTATGTATTTGTTTCTGTTATTCATTTTTAGTAAATAAATGTTTATTTGTTTCCGTACCTCTTCGTACAAAAGAGCGAGTTTCTTGAATGCATAGAGATACGCGTGGGTATGACTTTTACACTTGGTAGGAAGATGCACATAATTCTCAGTTGCCACGCAATGGCTGAAATCGAAAGCGCATTTTTGTCTATTTTTTTCACTACAAACTACAGCCGTCCGTTCCATTGTATATCAAAATGACAGAACCGGAGTTAGGTCAATGTGTCAATGATCAGTGATCACCACGGTTCACGCGTGTTCCGCGCCGCGATCTCATCTGCCAAAGCTGCTCTAACATTGAGCTGGCACTAACACGACACTGAGCCGCATAGATGTGGTGTGATTTAGGTCTGTTGTAGGACTTGAGCTCTACCCATAATTTTAGCATTTGAACGTGAACCCTATTTGCAAGATAAGAATAGCTTTGCCATCCTAGCATTGACCATTATCCGAATGAATAAGAATTGTTTCTTACCTGCTTACAGTCATAAGCATAATAAAAACCTTACATGATAACTTGTCAACAAAATGACAAACGTCTTGAGGTCCGGCGAATCACCTATGGGCACTGGCCTAAGAGGACTGACATAAGGTCTCCTAATCACTAGCCACAGCCGGCTGGTCCATGCCGACCTGACATTGACTTACCGCTGGCTGGTCGGTCGCCGACCTGCTACCGACTTTGACCTACCGGCTATTCCCTCCCCGGTATGCCTTAGTGCAACCGGGATGCAAAAAAAAACATTGACCTGCCATTGACCTTGACCTGGAACTGACCTGGGCGACCAGCATGGGGCAGGCCAGCACGAAGGAGAGCACCCAGATGGCTACCACGGTGCGGTTGGCCTGGCTTCTGGTGCAGATGTACTGCGCCTTCATCGGGTGCAGTATGACGTAATATCTGACGGGACAGGTCGGTGTGACGTCATATCTGACAATGCAGTTCGGTGTAAGGCGCATGTAAGTGTAGCATGAGGTATGACTACACAGGTCACTGTAACAGTGTAACACTGACGCGGCGGCACAAAATGGCTGAATTATATCAAATGTAATATGGTCGGAAACGGGGGAGGATGTCATGCGTCGTGACAATAGCTGGTAAAAAGCAAAACTAAATCTATTGAGAACGGATAATACAACGCAATATCTTCCCAGCGCACTTATAATAAAATAGCACAGTCTACCGTTACACAAATGACAGAAAATACTAGTAAATGATATGGCATAGATTTTGCCATTCTCAAACGATCCATAAACGATTCAAAATCCATAAACCCAATCCATAAACCATATACGCCAACGACCTCAGCCTGCACGCGCCGGACGCTCATGTGACCCAGTACGCTGACGACACCCAAATCCTTCTATCCGATACCAAACGCAACCTTCCTTACCTCATCCAACGCATGGAAACCACCCTCTGCACCCTTTCGTCATGGTTCCATGCCCATGGCCTAAAGCTCAACGCATCCAAAACTGAAATCCTCCTCCTTGGTACCAAACAGAACACACGTGGCCTATCCCCTGTCAGCGTACGGGTCGGTGGGGAGACCGTTCAGGAGAGCCTGACCGTGAAAAACTTGGGCTTGATCTTTGATCGCCACCTTACCTGGGACGCGCACGTCAGTGACGTGGTCCGTCGATGCATTGGCCTCCTGATCGGTCTCCGTCACCTGAGGCATTACCTCCCGCGGGGTGTTCTGCGAGCTGTTGTTGACGGTCTTGTCCTCTCGCGCGTGAGATACTGTATTTCTGTTTATGGCGGCGGAACCTCAAAGAATGATGCGAGGCTTCTGAACATTATCAACTTTGCGACGAGAGTGATCACTGGCTTAAGAAAATACGACCACATTTCTCACGCGCGAGAGGACCTCAGACTTCTCTCCCCCTTACAAATGTATGAGGTGTCGACTTTGACGGTAGCCCATAAGGCGATCACCAATGGCGAGCCTGTGGACATCTCTACTCTGTTCACTACGTTTCGTGACTCGCGCCAGCAGTCCGAGCGCAGTACGCGTCAGGATCGCCTTTTGAGGCCTCCTGCTATGCGAACGGCCGCCGGGCAGCGATCGTTTTTATATCGCGCAACATCACTTTTAAATGAACTGCCTGTGAGTATCGTTGAGCTGGACCCCATTTCTTTCAAACGTGCCGTGAAGATGGTTAAGTGTAATAGGGATATGTAGTGGGAGGGGGAGGGGGCATAGGAGTGCAAGCTTTATGATGTGCACGTGTGCCTGATGTTTGCCTGTTTTACCCATTCCGCCTTTTACCTGTTTTTATATTGTGACTATCGGCACAGAATAGCCACGCCGGTGTATGTGGAGTGCTGGCAAAAGTCAATACAATTCAGCGGGGCGAATCGTAACGATTTACGCACCGTAAAATAAAACGTTGCGCTCTGACCCAGCCCCCACCGGACACGATTTGGTAGCCGAGGTCTGTGACGTCAGCCGGGCGTGAAGTTTTCCCTTCACCATAGGCTTTACACAAAAACTTGCCGAAGTTCATGCCAGGGGATAGCCCGGCCTGAAAGTGCAAAAATGAATAAATTTTGCCCTCATTAGATTCAGTGCTTCATTTTATAACTAAAAACGTCCGTTATTAGGCCTCAATGAAGGTACAAAGTACTCAAAATCGAAATTCAAGAAGATGCTGTCCGAGCACAATCTGGTAACATCACGTGACTTCTTTTCAGCAGATTATTGATAATTTCAGGACATATTCACACGATTGCTGCCTAAAACATCATAAATAATACATTTGCAGCATTTATTACTTCCGTTTAAGTCATAACCTTGTAAAATGCAAAGTGTATCATGGTAGTCACGTGACCAAAGGTATAACAGGGGGTTGGGACAAACACTCAAAGGATTTCGAGTTTATTAATTAAATTATATAATTTTCATGGTGGAATTGAAAGATTGTATTTTTTCCTAATAGCATACAAATTTTTGTATGTAAAATATTTTCCTTACGGGTGAAATTCTCCATATAAGAAATATCAGTGACGTCACCAGGGCTTTACTCAAAACATCGGATCTACCTGTTTATTATAGGTATCTTGCTCTGACCGGCTCGCACCAAACGAATGTCCAATGATATCGTTCAGCCATCGGCCTAATGCATGATAGGATTCTGACATCCCGAATGTAGTTATGAGGAAAACTGGGCTGTGGATTACACTTCGTTTAAATAAATTACGTCGATAACATAGGTATGTTCGTTCTCTGTGCGTGTGGCCGCTTCAAAGGTGAATCCAATGACGCACAGTAGTGAAAAAAAAAAATGAGCAGTGTATCACCGGAACATTGAGAGCAGAGCAGACTCGACGCTCATCGGCTAACACCCTCCGACTGAAATGACTCACTGACTGAATTGAATGGACACCTATACCGGAATCATTGTGAAGACCCCCTCGCCTTTTAGACCGAATGAACTGGCATTCAGACAGAGGACTCGTATTTTTTTTTCGTCAGAGCGCACTCGCCATTTCAGACTGATTGGATTCGCCTACGGGACTAGAAGGACACACAACTGATCGACCATCTGAGTGGGCTGACTAACCGATCTCACTTCTCCAGGCTGATGGCGGTCAGACTAATGACATTCTCACCTGTCCAGCCTGATATAGCGGTCATGCTGGTGAGTGGTGATGCTCTCACCTCTCAAGACTGCGGTTAGACTAAAAACATTCCCACACCTCTCCAGGCTGATGACACTCTCACCTCTCCATGAGTCCAGACTGATGTCGGTCAGACTGACAGCATTCTCACCTCTCCAGACTGATTGCAGTCAGTGTGAGCACGGAGCAGATGGCGGTCACCGTCTGGATGTAGTGGACGCCCAGACACAGCACCGGGCCCAGCGTCCAGGTGAATGAGAACAGCTTGGCGATCTGGGGGACAGGCGGGGTGAGGTGTCAGACCACACAGAACAGACGGTGTAGTACCGGCAGAGAAACACGTCAGGAGGTAAACGAAAAGGTAGTTTTAGGAATGGGGTCCAATTGGTTTAAGTGCTGCGTGATGAAGGGGTCCAATTGGTCCAAAGCAGAGACTGTTCATACATCCTACTATCTGGCGTTGAATATGCGTGAACTTATCAATCATTCCCTTCTCTCTGCGCCTCCTCTACATATCTAAAATTTAACTAGACTGCTGAGGACTTTGGTAAGTTTCAGAGATAATCCCACATTTTAAATGGCCACGGAGCTAGAGCCAGCAGGTAAGTTCGCTTCACCGCCATTATCCGTTCCTGGCATGCACTTTGTGTCAGTCGTACATCACTTTCTGCACGCGACTAAGCAGAGTATCGAGGTAAATGACATCATGGCCATGAAACCATTGTGTTTAAAGGGCACACTTTATGCTCCAGCAACGGTACAGGTCCAGTTTACAACCATAGGGATTATTTTCGGTAAATTATGTCTGTTGGTTGACTGTTGAGTTCCGAGAGCGTAGTTTCACCTTAGCGATCGCGTGTGCCATCACTGCCATGTTCAATTGATGATAACTCCCGGATTGCATTCGTTGATTCTACTTCTCGTGCATCTCGCAGTCAATCCTCGCTCGCTCTGCAGCGGCGTTGAACTGTTTCCCTCGCTCATCTTTAACACGCGCACTGCAGCGGGTCTGAGCCGAACACGAACTGCAGGGGGGGGGGGGTTGACAATGTAAACAGTCCATCCCCAATTGCGTCATATTTACGAGCATGTTCGACGTCGCGGCGCGGTCGGCGGCGCTGGTTCGGCCGCAGTGCGCCGTTTCCGTCGACCGTGGCTGACAGGGCGCTGTGTTTACCCAGCGTTTCCGGCTCTGGTGACGGCCGTCAGTCAGTGACGCCGAGGTCGTCACACCAACTGCTTCCAGGAAGGGGTGCCTGATCCTCGATCCAGGTGGACCGGACAGCGGCGGCTGTCGGCGCGGCGAGCTGGAGTCAGCCACCGCGGGCTGTGACCGGTCACCAGCCCAGTCGAGGCTCCAGCGTTTAATATAGCTGTTACCAGAACAGGTATGCAACTGCTGCTTTAATTACAGCACCGCTGATGCAATAATTTTGCCTTAATTTCAAGCGCACTTTTACGACTGTTTCCCTCGCTCATCTTTAACACGCGCACTGCAGCGGGTCTGAGCCGAACACGAACTGCAGGGGGGGGGGGGGGTTGAAAACAACCCCCCCCCCCCTGAGATCTCGAAAACGGCGCAACGTAGCGACAAGCGGTAAACGGCGTTGGATAGGTTAAGATGAGATCGACAAGAAATACTAAGATCATTTTTGGGTCAGGTCAAAAACGAGGTCACCAGAGGTCACCGAAGACAAAATGTTACGATTTTCACAACAGGAATTTCGCGGTAGTTTTTCTTGAATAACTTGTCTTGCACACAGGTCAGAGGATCGATTCGAACGCCATCGTTCTTAGCTCGTCAAGGCGCATCGAATGATATATAATATGACCTCGAAAGGTCAAGTTGAAAATTTGACCTCAGGTCAAGGTCATGACCTGGCCGAAATAGGTCATGTTGCATATCATTCGATCCGCATTGACGAGAAAAACACGATAAACGTCGAACGGAGTCTCTATCTCTACTCAATCTCAAGTTATTGAAGAAAAACCGCTGGTGACCTCAGGTGACCTAAGATGACCTGGAGATCACCTTCCAAAGGTCATAAGTGATATGTTTCGGTGAAATCACCAACAGGGACCTGTAATACTATGATCCTGAGCGTATTGAAGTCATAGGATGGCATTCAGAGTAAGTTGAAATTTCTCCCATTGACTTATAATGGGCCGGTCGCAAAAATGACCTGACCTTAGGTCATCGATATAAAAATTCCGAGATATACAAGTTGTAGCTCGTGATGACTTTACTATTTCCTGTGGGTTTCAAGATCATATCTCAACAACTGTGGGCTTGGTGGGATTGCAAACTTCGAAATTTACGTTTCGAGGTAGGGTCACTTGACCTGACCTGGTGACCTGACCATAGGTCACCTGGGGTCAAAATTTTTACTCAAGGTGTGCAAAAGTTGTGAGAACAGGTATGCAAAATTTGGCGGCGCTACGCGCCGCCGTTTTCTCGCAATTTGCGAAAAACCACAGGGGGGGGGGGAGGGGTTGAAAACAACCCCCCCCCTGCAGTGCGCGTGTTAATTAAACCTGCTGTAAAGATGGAGACAATCTTAAATAGCTCGTCGCTACGTCCGCGCCAGCCTTTAAGCCATCTGTCAGCTCCCTGAGTGGGGATAAAATCACGAAGTTCCGGTAGATAAAGTCCATCTCCAGTTTCCAGGCCCCGGACATTGGCCCCGGACAGGCGGATACCTCCAGTCACCCTGGACAGTGGATAACGTCACCACACACAGTAGCTCTGTGAAGTGCGCAGATCAGGCTGACCTGATTGAACAGCGCGCGGGGCAGTCTAGGGCGACACAGCACCCTCTCCATCATTGTCACGCCAGACGCGCCCAGGAGCGCCCCCTGTTGGAAGCGACGGAGCAGAAGATTGTCTGCGGTGCATCCCACTTACGGAGCTCCTAATTTAGCGCCTGTCCCCTCCGGGGGAGCGGGGGAGTCCGTGCCTGTCTGACGACCGCACCGAGGTCAGGGCACTCTTGTTACACAGTGTCGGGTGTGTTACACGCCTGAACTTCCCGCATCCCCCCTCCCACTCCAACCTAGCGCTGCACCAGCGCTGACATAGGATACCTCGGATGGCTGATAGGGAATGGGAGCGCTCAGCGCACTCGTCGGTATGGATCAGATTTAAAAGGATCGCCAGAGGCGCGTGTTCACCATGCGTTCGTCCTAAGTGGTTCGTTTAAATGCTGCACACGTCCGGCTGCCTGCTACATGGAGAAGTTCAAACAATGAGCTGAAACAATTGCCTCATTTACTTCCTCCTACCTTATTCATGCATTATCCTTATCACTTAACCCTTATTTGGCATTGCTGTGATTTACTTCGATGCATTTACCCTTACAATCAGACCCATGATAGTTATATAAGTGTTAATTAGTTATGTGACATATACCTAACGGCATGAGTGTCTGCCGCAATCAAGGATGCAGCATTGCCTATGATGAATTAGCTGTATGAGTGTGGTAAACGATGACTCGTAATTCGTATATTTATTCATTCATTGATCTTGTCCTTGCATATTGCGTGATAACATGTCGGTAAAGCACACACTTGAAATTGATGGGTTAATACGTAAGCATCGAGGATTAAAAGCATGCAGATTATCCCTGTACTACGTCTAGCCCAGACCGGCTATGCGTTATTCTTTCGGACCAGCTCAGAGCGTCAGGTGAAGGAAATTGTACGGTTGGTTTGTTTGGAAAAATGTACGGGTAGCAAAATGTGTACGTCTTAACTTTTCCCGTTACAGCAGAGGTGGAGTTGCTATTCCCGCAACGAGCTGCATGCGTGGTTCGCTCGACAGGAACGCTTTGGATAATACCTACAATATTTGGCGAAATAATCTGTTCTGGTATGTTTAAACAAACTAAAATGAATCGAGATTTTGTGGACTTTTTCAACAATATATTTTCTTGATGGGTAACGACATGAATTTATGCTGTTACCCATCAAGGTAGGTGAAGGTAAATGGATCGCCTATCCCAGATTTAATGATAAACATCAATCAATTAATCAATCAATCAAAAATATATTGAAAACCAATGCAATTCAAAATGAACAATATTTATGAGCGATTGGTGCAAATGCTAACGCATAAATAAACATGCAGATGGACGTGTAACGTGCGCGACGATCGAATTCCGTATGGAGCGCGATCCGCACTGGTCCACTGGCGCGAGTCTGTTGGCCGTTTTCGACTTATTGTCACCGGTTCACTGGTCGTTACTGGCCAGCTGACCTAATGCTTCAGTGTTCTATTGATTCGCTGCTAGACTAGCCACTGATAGATGATAACAATTGCCATTACATATCTGTTGTAAAAGTAAGAACATGCTGGACGCTGGTCCTCTACAAAACACTATGTAGTGCATATTTACTGGCACTGGTACTGGACCGGTTCACTGGCCTGCTCACACTGATCGTCACTTGAAATGGATTGCCTTTTCAGTACATATAAACCGTTCGCTAGGCGCCGTCCACCTCCTTTGTTATTTGTAATCGGATTCCACTGCACTAATAGAATCCCAGCCTGGCCTGTGGCAGAGTATTCCCAGGTCAGATTCTGAAATTACAGATTGCCTCTCCGTTCACGTACACTGCCGGAAATTGTCTGATGTTCTTAGAAGAGTTTATTCATGTAATCAAACGGAGCTATTTTATGGAAGCAGAGAGAGCGGTATATATTATGGAGAGAGAGAGAGAGATATATATATATATATATATATATATATATATATATATATATATATATATATATATATATATATATATATATATATATATATATATATATAGATAGAGATAGAGATAGAGATAGAGATAGAGGTAGAGGTAGAGGTAGAGATAGAGATAGAGATAGAGATAGAGATAGAGATAGAGATAGAGATAGAGATAGAGATAGAGATAGAGATAGAGAGAGAGAGAGAGAGAGAGAGAGAGAGAGAGAGAGAGAGAGAGAGAGAGAGAGAGAGAGAGAGAGCCAAATGCTGTAGAAACGCACTGCAATATTGCGTATTACACTGGGGAGAACGAAAAGCTCTGCAGGCGAGGTTTATCCGGAATAATCCCAAGCAGAACACACAATCTATATTACTTGTTTCTGTAAGAGTGATTTGGCATTAGGTATGGATTGGTCTCAAAGCGGCGCCGGGATAACACGAATGTGACAACCAAGAGCGCAAAGACAGGAAATTAGACACGCATGCCTACATGGCGAGTGGTGCCATACATCAAGGCAATCCGGACCAGACATTTCA